TTTGCACAGCATATATCTCAGGATCTAATCAAAATACAATACCTTATCCCCTGAATCAACAGAAGAAGGAGGCAAGCACTAACTGCAAGTAATTCTGTTCCATTTAATTATCTTCCAAAAATGTATCACAAAGTTCACCAACTTATCTTGCTAACATGAAACTTGTCAACTCCCCTTTTAACTGACTCCAGCCCTACAGCTTTGAAGCTTGCTAGGGCTGCGGGGCACAGAGCTGAGCAGATTTCTCAAGGAAATCTGCTGTATGTGTGGGAGGGGGCAGTGGGCAATGATTGTGGTCTCACTGTAGCTTTCTGCAACCATTTCCAGTGTCACAGTGACCTGCAGTTATTTGAAAAGGAAGTTTTCAGCTGCCAGTATCTTTAATTTGCAACTCTTATCGACTCAATGAAAGAAGCCTGCTGGGACTGGTATGCATCCCTATTAAAGTTGTGTGAGCACTTTTTGTATTTTTAAATACTCGGTTTACATGACACTTCTGATCTCGTGATGATTATATAGGAACTCTAGTTAGGTTTGCCTTTCACAGCTAATGAGTGCCACTGAAACAACTTTTATATTTAAAGCAATGTAATGTGCCCAGTGGAAGTAGTGATGGCTCAGCAGTCAGCTCAGGTTATTTGAATAGCAATATAAACTGTGCCTGCCGCTAGGAAACAGTCCACAAAGGTCATAGCGAGTGCCTAGTATTTAGACGGTACCACCCTGGTGACAGGAATTCTTTCAAGACTCTCAAGTTTTTTAGACCAAGCATCATTGTGTCTGACATTTGGATGTTGTCATATGAAATACCCGCTACGTGGTATCTGGACGAGAGGAAAGAATGCTTGGCATCCTTTGTGCTATTCACAGTGAGGCGTGCCTGCCAGATTGACAGATGCTGCTCTCTCCCCATCTAGGGGAGTTAGGCACTAAAATTAGTGACTATGAAAACAAGCGTACTGAGTAAGGATCTGCTGAATCTCATCAACCAGAAACGCTGAAGAGAAGGTGAGGAGTCACCACTGCTCTTTCTACAGGAGTTAGGGCAGTGACTCACACGTAGGGACAGCACAGCTTACAAAATGACAGCCCCGGTGCAGAGACAGCCCAGTTGCTCAGGGATAATTGAGCAGCTTACAGCGCCCAGCGTTAGAGCAGAGTAAGGGCAGTGACATGAATTATTACCTACACTGCTGGGGAGCCGAGTAGAGCAGTGACAACCTTTACGAATTACTGCCTAGACTGCTGGGGAGTGTGTCTGTGTGTGTGGGTGTCAGGCCAGATACGGGGCATGCGAGACAGTTCCCTGGCTGGGCACTGCTTCTCGCAAACAGCCCTGGAGAGAAAAACATTTACAAACAGTCCGGGAGAGAAAATGGTTTATAAGCTAAAACTCACGCAGGGTTCAGCTCTGTTGCCTCCACAACCACAGGAAACCAGCATACCAGCCCCACTTGTGAATCACAGCTTTTGGGAACTTCACCTTGAAGAGCAGGAAAGTCGTTCTTCAGGTAGAATTGATCGCTTTAATCCCTTCTGCTGGGATCATTGCCCAAGTGCCTTCATTTGCCAAAAAAAAGGAAAAAAAAAAAAAAAAGGCACAATAAGAAATACAGCTTCTTGCCACGGTTCCACCCTCCTTTATTCAACTGTTCAGTGGTGTAACATTTGGCCCAAACGTTGCAGATCTACTTTTAATTCTCTCATCTAGCTGAGAGGATTCAAGGCCGCATTGCTCCAGCCCTCCACTCAAGTGACCTAGCTACAAAACAACTGAATTACTAAAAAAAAGAAAAGGAGAAAGACATCCCACGGTAAACACCTTCATGTTCTGCTGACCCACTTCAGCGGGATCATGTGGAGATTCTGTGCATCTTCCCGCTGAGACTGATTCTGCCACGCCTGAGAGCTGCAGTTGGTCGGTAACACCAGTGTTACTGGTTGCAGACAGGCACAGACTTTAAGGCAACTTCTGTATCAGAGGTGAGCGGGCGTTCTGCTGCCATTCAGCGAGACCTGGACAGGCTGGAGAGTTCGGCGCAGAGGAACCTGAGGAAGTTCAACAGGGCCAAGTGCAGGGTCCTGCACCTGAGGAGGAACAACCCCATGCATCAGTACAGGCTTGGGGCAGACCTGCTGGAGAGCAGCTCTGCCAAGAGGGAACTGGATGTGCTGGTGGACGACAGGTTGACCACGAGCCAGCAGTGTGCCCTGGTTGACAAGAAGGCCAGTGGTATCCCTGGGTGCATTAAGAAGAATGTGGCCAGCAGGTCCAGGGAGGTTCTCCTCCCCCTCTACTCTGCCCTGGTGAGGCCCCATCTGCAGTACTGCGTCCAGTTCTGGGCTCCCCGGTTCAAGAAAGATGAGGAACTACTGCAGAGAGTCCAGAGGAGAGCTACGAGGATGATGAGGGGACTGGAGCATCTCTCCTACGAGGAGAGGCTGAGGGAACTGGGCTTGTTCAGCCTGAAGAAGAGAAGGCTGAGAGAGGACCTTATAAAACTGAAGCACAGGAAGTTCCGTCTGAACATGAGGAAGAACTTCTTCACTCTGAGGGTGACGGAGCACTGGAACAGGCTGCCCAGGGAGGTTGTGGAGTCTCCTTCTCTGGAGATATTCAAGGCCCGCCTGGACGCGGTCCTGTGCAGCCTGCTCTAGGTGACCCTGCTTCAGCAGGGGGGTTGGACTAGATGACCCACAGAGGTCCCTTCCAACCTCGACCGTTCTGTGATTCTGTGGTTTAAAAGTTCTCTGTGAAAGGCCTCCGAATCACCCACCAAAAGCCTGGTTTTATCAGTCTCTCTGACATGTTTGTATCAGAGCATCAAGTGCCGTCAAATTTGAGAGGGTAAAACAAAGATTCTCCCACAGGCAAGGCTACCAACAGTGGCGTTAGCGAACAGCAGTTCACCATCAGAGGACCGCGTGGCGTGCAGGCGTCGCCCCGGCCCGCGAGCAAGGCCTGGGGTTGCATGGCGGGCATTTGTCGCTGTCGATGGTTGCTTCGTACCACGGGTTTCAGCCGTTCATGCGGGCACAGAAGGTGATGCAAACATAAATCTTCGTTCAGGGCAGTTTTCCAAAGCCGACCTCGTGCACCAGCCGCGCACTCACCGGGTGGGAGCGGGGGAACCCGCGAGCAGCGCGCCTGCTGCCA